CAGCGCACAGGAGACCCGGATATGCTGCACCGACTTTGGCGGCTGCAGCTGTGCCTAGTAGGTAGGGGCTTTCAGGGGCGCCCTGGATAGAGTAGAACGCAGGCCCTGGCTGTAGGGAGTGGCAGGCTCCGAGGTAACCCAAACGCCTGGCGGACCCCAGGGGACTGGCCCTGGTAGGCCTGCGCAGAGCCTCCTCCCGAGGCCCAGGAACTCCAGCATGCCAACTGCAGTCACGGAGCTTCCCAATGTTGAATGCACTATGGATTACATCCAGTGCTTTTAGGTACTACGTATATTTAAACGTTGTGGTTTTCGTCTCTAGAAGTTGGATTTTTTAAAGTATCTTCCACATCTATAAATTTCTGAACATATGGTAAACAGTATAATTGTTTTAATGCCATAACTTGAATCATTCTAACATATGTGTCAGTTCTGAGTCAGGTTTGATTTGTTGATTTTTTCCCTTACATCATATTTTCCTGCTTTTTTTCATGCTCAGTAAATTTTCATTGGAAAATTTTCTTTTACCGGGTATATTTGTAATCCTAGAAATATCCTTGAATTTCTTCTGGAGTAGTGCTACTAAATTACTTGGATACAGTTTGAAACTTTAGTTACTTCTTTCGAAGATTTGTTAGGTGCAACCAGAACAGTGTTTAGTTTAGAGCTAATTATTGAAACTCTTGAAGCAAGACACTTTTGATTGCTAAACTCAATGCCTCAGGAATTCTTAGGTTTTCATTCTGGCACATAAATAGCTTGAGAACCCACAAAATTCCCAGCCTTTGCATAAGCATTGGGCACTATTTACCTTAATCCATTAAGTAGTTCTTTCCTCATTCTTGGATAGCTTCCTCACACACATATGCAGATCAGCGCTCAGCTAAACTCAAGCAGGGCCCTCTCTCTGTGTATTAGTCCTTTTTCATACTGCTATAAGGAAATACCCAAGACTGGGTAATTTATAAAGGAAAGAGGTTTAACTGACTCACAGTTCCACATGGCTGGGGAGGCCTCAAGAAACTTACAATCATGGTGGAAGGTCAAGAGGAAGCAATGACCTTCTTCACGTGGTGGCAGGAAAGAGAAGTGCAAGCAGGGAAAATGCCAGACGCTTATAAAACCATCAGATCTCATGAAAACTCACTCACTGTCACGAGACCAGAATAGGAGAAACCGCCCCCATGATCCAATCACCTCCCTCCCTCAACATATGGGGATTTCAATTGAGATGAGATTTGGATGGGGACACCGAGCCAAATCATATCATTCTGCAAGTCGTGAAAGATTTTTCTATGTTTAGCATTATCTTTTCTGACGCTTTTTATGACAAATTCTGCCTTAGTCTGGTCGCTCAGTTCTGTCTCTTTTATTTCTGTTTTGTTCAAAAGTTGTACTCCTTGATATAAAGGTGAATATCTAATTTTATTTCAGCAACTTGTACATAGTTGCCATCAGAAAATATTTACCAAATAAAGGAATAAACATTTTCATCATAAGATAAACTTAATCATAGCAACAGCTCATTTAAATGATGCTGTTTTTGTTGTTTTATAACATATACCAAATGTTTTTATTTAATAATTTACTAATATTATTTTTAAGTTGTATTGGGTAGTTAATCCAAATCAACAATATGTAACTGTGATGAGAGTCAGAAAATTTCTATTGTTTCTAAAAGTATTGGGAATTATCCACTGCTCCTAGAATAAATATGATAGTAGACTTGGTTCTGATATAAATATTTTTACCTTATTGAATATGTTTTCCTACTGTTCCTACAGCACAGGGCATGTTTCTATTTAATGGCTTGCTGGATATTTGCATAATTGATGTAATATTTGATAACTTTTAATATTTAATAACTTTAATGTTTTGGTAATACTTTCAGGAATACTTAAACTATTTCCTTATTAAATATGTTCAACATTGCCTTGTTTTGATTTGCTTGCCTGATAGTACAGGTACTATAATTTATTTAATGATATATTTAAATATATAGCCTTCCAAAATCTCAGGCAGCATACATGCAGAAACATTATACCTTTATAAAGTCAAAAATTTTAAATTATTTAAAGATAAAATTTTTCTCTGGCATAGCTGTAATAATGAAAGTGAATCAAAATGTATTTCGAGAGCTTTGGGGACATATCTTGAGCAGCCACCCACATCAGCAAAACATTTCTCCAAGCACCCGTATTTCTATTTAAAAATACATGCGATTTTCTCAACATAATATATCCATGTTTATTCCAATGCAGAATAGTAGTTTCAATGTTCAATTATTTTGAGTTCTATTTATACTTCTAAGTTAAACAAACAAAAACAAGAATATGTTAACATTTTTATTAAGTGACCCCAAAAACCCCACAACATTTAACCTCTGAGAAACATACTCCTTTAATAGAATAAATAAATAAATACAATAAGCATTTTTTTCATAATACATATTAGGATGTATTTTATTTCATGCCAATAGCAGACTCCATGTAAAAATGAGTCATGGGTTGGGAAAAATACTGTGATCCAAAAAATTCATAATGTCTAGGATCCTTTTCCAGATTATACTAGAATTAAGGAAATGAACTCACTTTCTCTTATATAGCCACGGGCCTTCGAAAGTGTTCCCAAAAACCTTTTCTCTGTGTTCCAGCTTCTCATCTGTCTTAACACTGGGAACCACAGAAAGTGGACATGCTCACAGTACAGGAAATAGAGCTTTGCACTGTTCTTTTAATGACGTGGATTTTTTGGTGAACTCACTCTATTTTGTCGTGGTATCTTTGGCTCATATGTTTGTGAGGCAGTTTATAGCAATAGGCTATAAAAGTTTTTTTTTTTCTAAATAAAGATAATAGATCAACCAAAGTTTTGAATTCCACATGGTATTCTCAAACCCCCACACTGAAATAGGACTAACTTGCCCAGTCAGGTGATGAAGAAAGTTTCCTTGTCAAAACATGTAAATTCCCACTGAGTTTGTGTCGCTAAATTAGAATTTTTTTCCATCTCAGGTTTTTCCCCTGCTGATCACTGTCCAAAGCATCTCACTGTTCATCTTTCCCCCCAGAGTAAGTTCTATGTGTATTGACCTAGGCCTCGTTGTTGTGTACCACGAGAGCATAAGACTGACTAAGGCAAAACATTTATGGCAAAAAAGAATTTTAAAAGAATTCATGGCAAAAAAATTATATTTAAAATCATCACCTCTAAATTTGTTCATTAATTTCACGTTCCATAATTTCATCTTAATGTTTTTGAACTAATTGTCTCTTGATTCTACTTGCCACTGAGACCTTAAAAAAGCATTTGAGGGTGATATAATTGGACATTGAATGTTAGAAGATGGCTAGATGGTGGCAATACATGTTGATCAAAATTAACTCACGATAGTACTGACATGTTTTTCTAGGAGTTGGGATCATTTCTAATTTAATTGGGATTCATTTATAAACAATTTATGCTAAATATATTTCCTAAACTTTCTAAATATCTTTTTCTCTGGATATTATACCATTTTCCCCTACTCTAACTAGATTAACTGGTCATTAGGAAAAGGGAGAAAAAAAGACTGACTTGATGGAATTCAATATTGTAAAGCAGGTATTCTCATAAGTGAAAAAATGCTACGTAGATTTTACCAAGAGTTAACTGTTTTTTTCTTAGTCTTGTTCCACTTGTGAACTTTGTGTCACTTGATACTATTCCCTCATCAATTCCATGTCTGACATCTTTTTGAAAGTCAAACATATCTATCCTTGCTTCTTAGGACTTCTTTTCAGAGATCATCTTGTCTTAATCCAAAACTCTTTAGTCAGTGATCTTCTCAGGGCAGCTTTCACATCCTTGTTTCTCAATGTGTAGATGAATGGGTTGAGGGTGGGTGTGACAATGCCATAGAAGAGAGCCATGACCTTTCCCCGGTCACGAGAATAGCTAGAGGGAGGCTGTACATACATACTGATGGCTGTGAAGTAGAAGAGGGAGACCACCAGCAAATGTGAGGCACAGGTATTGAAAGCCTTCCAGCGACTTTCAGCAGAGCGGATTCTCATTACTGCCTGAGCAATGAACACATAAGTGCCCAGGATGAGGGTGAGTGGCACCAGGAGAAGCGAAGCGCCTAGTACATTGAGCTCAGTTTCATTCACACCAGTATCAATACAGGCTAGTTTCAAAAGGGCTGGAACTTCACAGAAGAAATGGTCCAACACCCTCTGTCCACATCTTGGGGCCACCACTGTGAGAGTGGACTGGACAACGGAGTTAGCAAAACCACTGATCCAAGTGCCAGCAGCCATGTGGATACAGCGTCTCTGGTTCATGATGACTGGGTAGCGAAGGGGCTTGCAAATGGCAGCGTAACGGTCAAAGGCCATGATGGCTAGAAGTATGGATTCAGTAGAACCCAGGGCCAAAAATATATAGAGTTGGGCAACACAACCCCCATAGCTAATGATCTTTTCTGCTCCCCGGAGGTTGACCAGCATCTCTGGGACAGTGCTGGTGGTATAGCAGAGGTCCAGAAAGGATAGATTGGAGACAAAAAAGTACATGGGACTGTCAAGCTGGGGATCCAGGCAGGAAACTAGGATAATGGAGATGTTTCCAAATAGGGAAAAGATGTAGGCCACCAGAAAGATTACAAAGAAGGGTGTCTCTAGCCAGGGACGGTCAGAAAATCCCAATAGGATAAAATCATGTAGCGAGCTTTGATTGTTGATCCACATGTCAGCACTGGTAGGTGAAATTCCAGGTGAGACCTTTAAATACCCACAGTTAGGGATATACATCAACAGTAAGAGGAAACCACTGAAAATTAGAGATCAGAGACACTGAGATTAAATTTTCATTTTTGCTCTAATCTGCATCTGTATCTTCATGACAGTAAAATGTCATTTGCCTCTATATCCTGATTATGATAAATTGTGGAGACAACATCATCAATGTAATATTGAAAGATTACTAAGAAAAGAATAAATACCACACCAGCAACATAGTTGGGAATTTTGCTTCTTTAATATATGTCTTCTGGTTAGCTACTCACTTCATTTGAGTTTTCATATTTTCTCTTCTAAACAGTTTTATTAGTACCACCATCAACTCTACATCCATGGATATTTAATGGTGGCGACAGAGTGTAGATTAAAACAGAAGGAAAAGGCAGAACTTCCCACAAACAGGTCAAACGAAGGCCAGCATGAAGGCTACAGGAGGATCTGCAGCCAGGGAGAGCAAAGGCATCTTGGCATGTTCATCCGCTTTGTACAGATCATGGTCAGAAAACACCGTAAGAACTGCAGCACTTCATAAGGTCTGCATGATAAAAGGATGGAGTGTCAGGACTCGTTTTACCCCTTTCAAGTTTTAATGCTAGTCTTACTCAGAAAATTTAAAAATAGGGAGAAAACAGCCAGAAAAATCAAACAAAATTACACACACACAAACAATCAGTCCTTAGAAATTTGTTTGCTGTGAAAATGCAACTTTAAAAGTATCTGGATAAATCTGATGAAACTTTAATCTCTGGAAGAAATCACCAGAAAGAGTTTTAAATATTTAAATCCTTGAAATTTGAGGATGTATATGAATTTCTAGTCCCTCAGGATCATTCTCAGCACATATGAACTTAATCATTTTCCCTCTCCCTTCTTTATTCACATATTTTCTAATTACTGATACTATTTTTTCCACTTAAATTGCCTCTATTCTGCTCTTTGCCCATCCAAATTATGCAATTCCTTTATCATATAATTTCTAAAGAATAACTCCAATTGCAAATTTTTCCATTCCCTACAATCCCAAATTTCTTGTTTTTGTTTGACTCTTATCTTTTAGTAAATTTGTCATATTTTTCTCTAGTTGTTTTATAAAAGACATTTATAAAAGACTGGGATTTCCTCCAAATCCCAGTCATTCCATTCATCAGCTGTGTGACTTTGGAGATGTCATTTAATCTTCATGTGCTTCAATTTTCTCATCTTTCAAATGAGCATAATTATACCCATCTCAGAACTGCTGTACAAATTAAGGAATAGAGTGTACATTGCAAACATAGCTCAGTTCTTGTCTTATACTAATAATTCAATGACTATTAATGATTATTATATACTTACCTCATTATGAATCCCCAGATATATTACAATTGTTTTATTTTTGTGCATTTATACACAGTTCATAATTATATTTGTAATAATAAATATTTATTAGAGGATAGTAAACAAAATGTGACTGCTCTGAAATCAGCTCAGGTCCTCTATTTACTTTTCTGATCCTCTCATTTGCCCTACGTCATATTCTTCTTGTGATCCTGACTTAGTAGGGTTCATGTACTTAGTTGGCCAGCTCTATTTTTCAAATTGTGTCATCTGAGTTATAGACTTAGACCATGTGAATGACCATGTGAGTGACAGTGAGAAATGATGGGGATAAAAACTTGTTTCACAGCTAAACGTAAGAATCACTAAATTCAAAACTGATTTTAGTATCCATTCATTAACACTTCTAATTTCTTCATTTGCTTACAGAATAACAAATCTTTTGGTATGCAGAGGTCATCCTTCTCTTTGAATTATAATTGCATACATGTCACGTAAGATGTCAGCTGGACTAATTTCTTCTTTACCATTGTCTCTCAAATCTATCCATTAAATCTGTATCTATCTGAAAACATTAAGGCAGACATATAGAAAATAGTTCAGTGTCCTCTGATCTCTAAGTTTCAAACTATTATTCTTACTTACAATTGTTCTCTCATCTTCAAAACAACCTAGCTGGTTTGGAGAACAGCCTTTCCTTTGTTAAAATGTGGCCATGTACATTTCAGTTCAAAATTCTTCAGTGGCTCTCCATATTCTGACACATTATATTAAAATGCACCCTTGGACTCAGGCCTCATATAACAAGCACTTGAACCAATGCAGACATATTCACTGATGCACCCAAACTTGTGACCGTCCCCCTTGACTCCTTGTATTTAGGCTGATGCGAAATGCCATTGTTGTTTTGTATCCTGTAAGGATCATCTCAAATGCAAAAATGTCCTTAAGTATTTCCTGCTCTCCTTTCTTACTGGTCATCCAGAATGTTTTATTTGTAATTTCTTGATGATATACTCATTTATATATATGACACATATATATATATCATGTATATATGATTTGATAATTTTTTCATGATATACTCATACATATATACTCATATATAGATATATATCCATATATGGGAGAGATAGAGATTTTTTTTCTGTCTTTTTTGTACTTGACATGTTTTCCTGACTATATCGATTACATACTTTTTTGAAAGAGTCAGCATGTGACTTTTAGAAGTAAAAGCATATGTTAAATATAATAGATATTTACTATGTGTTAATCAGTTTGAATTTAGTTGAAACCAGCAATCATGAAGCTTTTTCCTTTGGTGCTCTGATATGTTATTCCTAGATTACATTAGCATTTTTATCGTTATTTTTCACCTATGACCTCAATCAGTTTCACTCATATTTCAGCACAACCAAACCCATATACATCATTTACTAATTCAGAGCCCAAGAGGTCAAAGCAGAGTCAAAATATGCCCTATTGGCAGTTTTAGGGTTTTATTGCTAATTCTCAAATTGATGTAACTGATTAACCAATAAATAAATACATTTATTTTACTTACTAAAAACGAATGGACTTTAAATATGTCACTTCATACCCTTGTGACCTGTTTTGTTCAACCAGATCAAGAGAATTAAAATACTTGCATATAAACTCCATAGTACTTCAATGACAATTAGATGTATATTTCCTTTGTAAATTAAAAAAAACCTATACAAGACCATATATAATACAAAAGCAGTAGCTGCAATATTAGTAGGACTACTCACATGGTAAAATTACATAGAAGTGATTTTAGAGGCCGGGCGCGGTGGCTCAAGCCTGTAATCCCAGCACTTTGGGAGGCCGAGACGGGCGGATCACGAGGTCAGGAGATCGAGACCATCCTGGCTAACACGGTGAAACCCCGTCTCTACTAAAAAAATACAAAAAACTAGCCGGGCGAGGTGGCGGGCGCCTGTAGTCCCAGCTACTCGGGAGGCTGAGGCAGGAGAATGGCGTAAACCCGGGAGGCGGAGCTTGCAGTGAGCTGAGATCCGGCCACTGCATTCCAGCCTGGGCGACAGAGAGAGACTCCGTCTCCAAAAAAAAAAATAAATAAAAAAAGAAGTGATTTTAGAAACTTCTGGGACTTCTCCTTTTTTAAGCCTTGTCATTTTGTATCTCTATAATGCCACTCTTCATTCAAACTGGTGCTATCCAATTCCTTTCTTCTCCCATTTCTCACCTGGGACAGTGAGTCTTTAGGAATAGAGCCTTAAAAATATGATTACATTTTGTATTGTATCCCCAAAGAAATGGAACACATATCACTGTCAGTTGATTAGAAGATTATTATATAAATAAATTTTGATTCAATACTGAGAAATAATTTTATCTTTACATATATATTTCTGAATCCAATTTTGCCTTATCTATTATGGTCAAAGGAAGACTTCTTCTGTGTTGTAGGATTTCTTATAGAAGAATGCTTCTTAATCAGTATTCAAGTAATTCCTTGTCCAATTAAATTCCTAAAAAGACAGTTTTAGAATGCTACCTTCATTCTGTCTGGATTGTTTTCTTACTAGAGTCTCTTTCAGAATCTCATTTAGTTAGAACTCAGAAAATGTTCTAAATCTGAAGAAAGCTGTGTTTCTTTTCCTACATTTAAAAATTAGTAATAACATTTTCACAATCTTTATATTTTCCTACTGCTTCTCTTCCAGTAGGCACAGCTATTTGTTTCTATTAAGTGCTATTAAGTTTCTGGGATAAGTTTGGAAAGTTATGAATAAAATTGATTATATACTTTACCCGATGAAAACAGTAAAGTTATTAAAGAAGTATATGTAGCCTGTTCCCCTGGTGTTCCATATACTTCATTTGTGCCTAAATATTGAAAATATGTAGGAAATAGAGGTAAAGTGGGTAATAAGGAAATAATAGCAGTAGATAAACTCATAGAGTTAAGAGAGAAGAAAAATGGAAAGGAAAGAAAAACAATAAGACAGAAAAAGAAGTACATAAAGATAGTAAATTTTTGTCTAATACATAATAATAGTCACATAAGTAACTGTCAAATATACAAATACAAAAAGAAATGGAAGAAAAATAGAAAATAAAAATGAAAGATCTAAGACTAAATTCAGTAATTCAGCTTAAATGTCTAGAAAGGACAGCAGGGAGTACTTGCCTTTCTGACTGTATAAGAATAAAACGGAAATAGGAGAGTTTAATTTGCCTAAATCAGAAGTTAAAAACATGCTGATGATCCCCATGAGAGTGAAAACCTGGAGATGGGAGACAGAAGAATCTATAGATCTCTGGCAAATGGGGTGCACAAAAAAACGAAGAGTGATCAGAGAAGTATCTGACCACATGGTTTAAGAACACATGAAGCCCATTATTTTAAATGTTTACATCCTAATACACTCTTCATTGACTTTCTAAGCATGGCTCTAATATAATACGTTAATAAACAAAACTGAAATAATATTTAGATTTTCATTCTACCTGACTTATTTTATATACTTCTTAAGAACTTTTGCTATAGGTTTAATTCCATGCTCTCTATCTATCAGATTCCCTTGTTCCAAATTGTCATAGATTTAAACAACGTTTTGTTGCTGTTGTTGTTTGTTTGTTTTTGGGTTTGATTTTGTTTTTGAGACAGAGTCTTATTCTGCCACCCAGGCTGGAGTGCAGTGATGTGATCTCAGCTCACTGCAACCTCCACCTCCCAGGTTCAAGCGATTCTCCTGTCTCAGCCTCCAGAGCAACTAGAATTACAGATGTGCACCACCATGCCCAGCTAATGAATTTAAACAACCTTTGATTTATCTGAGTGGTAGGCCTTTTAGAGCTAAATTTTCTCAAAAATCAGTACCTTAATATCTACAATCTTTGTAATGGAAATAGCAGTTTCAATCCAGAAAAGTGGTTTTAAAAAGTACACCTAAAAATATTTAAATGAAAATATAAAGTTTCAAAGGTAAATAACGTGATTGGTAACACATATTTTTCCATCAGTCTCCTCATAATAAAATAGTATTTAACAAAGATTGGCAAACACCGGATAGTTCGTATCAAATTTTCTATCCATAAACTTAAGTATATAATTGCTTTCATACCAGTATGTTCATTTTCTTCTTATAATATGCCTCTAAAGTAAGAATGTTTTTTTTACAATAGAAGAGAGGAAACTCAGGCACCAAGAGGTTATAGGACTTGCTCAAGCTTATAGATCTAGTAAATTCAGAAGAAAATATTTGAATAATACAATATTTTGAATCCTACATCAGTATACTTTTCATAAGCTTATTGTTATCTCAAACAAAAATGTATGTGGCTTGTAGAATAAACCTTTTACATTTTTTTAAATTTTTATAGTTCTACTCCTGAGTGCTCCCTTTAGCCTACTCCATGAAGCGATGACAACTTTGATTAATGTTCCCTCTCCAAATCCCTTCAGCATTTACCTGATGCTGGGTTGTAATCCATCAGTTTGTCTGGAGATGGGGAGTCCTGGAAGACTGACCTGGGGCCCAAACATGGTCCTCAGACCAGTTTGTTGTCTGAATTTCTTCTCAGCCCTCTTTAACATCAACCCAGTTCTCTCTGACCTACTGAAGGGTCAACCTCAATAAACCAACTTCAACTTATGGCCATCCATAGATGAAAGCTCTTCAGGGAGCTTTCATGCCATTATTACCTCACTCTCATACTTCTGTTTAAGCCTCCGAGATTCAAAATAATTAGCCTCTACTGCTGCCAACATGTCCAGGGGAAAATAACCAGAGGGACTAGAAAATGAGGACACCACAGAAGAAACCAAGAAAATGTTTCTAACGAAATACAAACTTTGGGCATGTGAATTTGGAGAGTCATCTAAGAAGAAAGAAAATTAGTTCAAGCAAGACTAAATCTCATGGTTGCCAAGATGATTTTTTTTTCATTATACTTTAAGTTCTGGGATACATGTGCAGAACGTGCAAGTTTGTTACATAGGTACACACATGCCGTGGTGGTTTGGTGCACCCATCAACCCATCATCTACATTAGGTGTTTCTTCTAACGTGCCGCACCCCCTAACAGGCCCCAATGTATGATGTTCCCCTCACTGTGTCCCTGTGTTCTCATTGTTCAACTCCCACTTATGAGTGAGAACAAGGAGTGTTCGGTTTGCTGTTCCTGCATTAGTTTACTGAGAATGATGGTTTCCAGCTTCATCCATGTCCCTGCAAAGGACATGAACTCATTCTTTTTTATGGCAGCATAGTATCCCATGGTGTATATGGGCCACATTTTCTTTATGCAGTCTATTATTGATGGATATTTGGGTTCCAAGTCTGCTATTGTAAATCGTGCTGCAATAAACATACATGTGCATGTGCACATAGAATGATTTATAATCCTTTGGGTATATGTCCAGTAATGGGATTTCTAGATCAAATGGTATTTCTGGTTCTAGATCCTTCAGGAATCACCACACTGTCTTCCACAATGGTTGAACTAATTTACATTCCCACCAACAGTGTGTAAAAGCACTCCTATTCCTCCACATCCTCTCCAGCCACTCTTGTTTCCTGACTTTTTAATGATCACCATTCTAACTGGCATGAGGTGGTATCTCATTGTGGTTTTGATTTGCATTTCTCTAATGACCAATGATGATGAACTTCATTTCATATGTTTGTTGACCACATAAATGCCTTCTTTTGAGAAGTGTCTGTTCATATCCTTCACCCACTTTTTAATGGGGTTATTTCTTGTAAACTTTTTAAGTTCTTTGTATATGCTGGATATTAGCCCTTTGTCAGATGGATTGCAAAAATTTTCTTCCATTCTGTACGTTAACTGTTCACTCTGATGATAGTTTCTTTTGTTGTGCAGAAGTTCTTTAGTTTAATTAGATCCCATTTGTCCATTTTGGCTTTTGTTGATGTTGCTTTTGGTGTTTTAGTCATGACGTCTTTGCCCATACCTATGTCATGAATGGTATTGTCTATGTTATC